AGAAGAATAAAACAAAAGGACAATCCATGGCTCGACACCTAGAGACGTCCGCACAAGGGAAAGAAACCCAATCCGAGAAACCGAACCAAAAACTCCAGCAAGCGGCTAATTGGAACTGCAATCGAACCAAACCCCTCTCCTGAACGGCAACCCCTAGACCAACACCAGAGGACAACTCCTTTCTCCCCAACTCCCAACCGACGATCCCTTCCCAACCATCGGCCGAGACCACAACCCAAAACCATGAGACACCAGCCCCCACCAACCAACACCACCATGAAACGGAAAAAGGGGAGAAAAGGACGATACCTCAACCCCGACCCCCTCACCGAAGAAGGCCGGGACCAGTCGATCGACCCAATTTGGCGCCAATCGAAACCCGCTCCACCACCCATAGACGACCGGCGAGCGCGGCGAAGCTCTACATCGGGGAGAGGGCGACGACTCCTAATGGGACGAGCAGCTCGGGTTGGTGAAGGCCGGCGCCGTGGCGCCTTGGATTGAGCAGCAAAGAGGAGATGAGGCTGGCTGCGGCTAGGAAGCTTTCTGGTTTGGGGAAAAGGGTTTTTCAGGAGGAGAGAGGAAAATACTTCAATAAATGCCAAATAAATGTTTATTTGTGAGGGCAAAACCGAAATTTTACGAATTACCTGTTCGATTTGCCAAAGCCACATACATGAGTAGTGTTAGTGTTGTAAACTAACCGAACCGAACTGAGCTTGAGCTGTTCAAGCTTGTATTTGTTTACGTTCGAAAAGTGTTCATGTTCGTTCGTTTATTTTTCGAACAAAAAATCGTGTTCGAGCTCGTTCATTTAATTGTTCGTCAAAGTTCGAGTTCGTTCGTGTTCGAATAATTTAATACATAATTTTTTTTAATATGTTTGATTAACTCGAATTTGTTTGTTCGAACTCGAAAATAAAAGAATAAAATAAAAACATTTTATATTTCAAATTTTTTATTAAAAATATTATGTATATATAAAATTAAATATAATTATATTAATATTTAGATACTTTATTAAAAATATTATACAAATATATAAAAAATAAAACAAATTATATTAAATTAATGTTCGCGAACATAATTGAACGTTCACGAACGAGCTCGTGTTCGTTCGATTATTAAACTAGCCCAACTTTTTGTTCGAACTCGGCTCGATTGACAAACGAACGAGCTTTTGTCGAATTTGTCGAACACGAACGAGCTCGAACAAACTTTTGTTCGCGAACGTTCGGTTCGTTTACAATTCTAAGTAGTGTATTATATAATTTTTTTTATACTACTATCCATCTTATCACAAGTTGGCTGGTCAATTATTATTCCTCATTTTCCTTAAAAAAAAGAAAAACATAAAAATAAATAAATAAACGACTTGATTGATAAGTTTGTTATTTTTCCACTGGCAAATGTGGTTCTCATCGCACTTCATAATATGGCATTATAAATTTCTGTGTCCAAGTTCGGCCCTGCCGAACTAGCTTGGAATAGGCCCAATTAGGATTGTTGACCATAGGCTTTGGAAAGATTCTACAATCTCATTACGGAACCATTTCATCGGGATTTATAACCGTTAGATCAACTATTCACGACGGTTACAAATTCCGACGAAATGGTTACACAACGGGACTGTAGCATTTCCCTAAAGTATAGATTAGCAGTTCCTTTCTTCTGGTAAAAATGAAGAAATGCTGTTAAGCAAAAGTAGCAGAGTTTGGATTCACTTTTTCTGGAATTCCTGGTCAGGCTAAGATATTTATTTTGTTCGTTATATGATTGGCGTTCTGTAATATCTGTACAATCGACCAATAGTTAGAACCATCAGGAAAAAAAAAGGACCAAACAAAATAAAGAAATCAACTGCATGAAATACTCAATGGACCAAAAGGAATAAAGATCTAAGCATCATGCCTGTAAGAGCTCCGAAATTTTATATATGTTTATATCAACTCAATCAGAATAGTCGTCTTGAATAATTCTCCGAAACTTCTAGCCACCTCCAGATTTAAGCGTATTACTCAACCTGTTTGTTACACAAAACAAAGAGGAAGCCAGTAGAACAGTATTATCATGATTAGGTTCCGAATGTGAATGTTTATTTAAAGGAAGAACTGTTTCCACCACACTTCAAAATTCTGGTAAAAATGGCTAGACAAGTTTGAATCTACGCGACTACGAGACTCTTTTTCAAGCCTGATTGCCCTTTTCTTCAAGGATTTGTTTGTCTAGTACTTTCTCGGGTAGTATTTGTTAATCGAGAAGGAAATTAAATTTTAGGTAACTTATTAAACCTCAAGTACAGTTTCTGTTAACTACTGCAAAAAGAAAAGATAAGATTTAAAGGAAACCCAATGATTTCACGTTTAAGTCATTCTCACCAGTCCAAGCCCTCAAAGAGGCCTTCTCCTTTGATGGCAGAAGTTTTGAAAATAGACCATTGTCGGTTCTTAATCTTGTGCAACTCTAAGGCCTCAGTTATCGAAGCATCATCGAGTGCTCCAGGAAGATCCTGTAGAGAAAAAGTTCATCAATACATAAAAAGGGGTTGATTCTTAGTTAAATCAGATCCGAAGCATTGAAAATCTTAGAGATAACAGCATAGAAGCTGAAGGCCAATTGACACTGAAACAGCAAAATATAGCATCCAACTTACCTGTTTGTTAGCAAATAAGAGAACCACAGCACCTTTTAGCTCCTCCTCCTGAAAAAAAAATAATAATAATAATAATAATTATATTGGAAAATAAGTTTCAGAAGCAAATCGGTTTGTTCTTGTGGATTATTTGGTGATTTTTTTTTTAATAAATTTTTTAATTGATGAAGCAAACCTAACTATTACAACATAGAGAAGGGTGAGGAGAGGGGTAAAACATAAAGAAAAAAAGATACAGATGAAGAAAAGCAAGAGTACCTCCAATATTGCATGAAACTCTTCTTTAGCAATCACCAACCTATCTGTATCACTTGAATCAACAACATATATAATGGCCTGGGTATTGGGAAAATAGCATCTCCAATATGGCCTAAGTAGGAAACAAATACAATAAGCAACAACATGTAAAGTTGCTACGAAAAGTTTTATAAAATTCATATTGGACCTATAAGTATAAAGGCTTAACCAATTTAATTCCTATCTTACCAAATGATATTATGGAATAATCAAAAACCAATCTTAACTTCAGATTTCAGACAATATGGAGAAGAAGCGCAGGATTTGATAGTAAAGATATGACAGGATACCACAATATTTCGCATATTTTACTTCTGCCCGGATTCTAAAACATTTGAAAATAGATTCTTAAGCATTTTTAGCTTTTACACATGCAAATAAAGCCTCATGGTGCAACAAGATAATTATAGGAAACAAAAACTAAGAACTAAATGTAACTTTTTTCCAATTATGGTGGAACAGAATATATTTCCTAAGACTGTAAGATAGAAAGCTAGGAAACTAGTGCCTGCAAATTACACATTCTTTTTCATGAAAAGATCCTAATCATTTACAAGGACAAATAAGTCTTACAGAGAGAACGAACCAGTAATCTTCGCATGCCCAATAATAAACCCTTACTAAAGAATGCAAATTACCATCAAATTTTGAAACATAAGGAAAGATAACAAAATGACAGGCCAACATAACAGAGCTTCCAACCAAAAAGTTTGATCAGTGATAGAAAGCAAAACAATCAATTAGGAAATATGTTTACCACTATTTATTTACCACTATTTACATTATGCAACAGGAAACTACACTGCTACACTAGATAAATAAATGCAACAACTCGTATAATCAGAAAAAAACAAGAAGAAATCGGGGGAGGGGAGAGGGGGGTGTTGTTACCGGATACTAGTCTGTCCACCTGCAATCACCACAAAAGGCATCTATGTTAGACATGACACTAGAAAACATTAACAAGGAAACTTAAACAGGCATCTATGTTATACTTCTGCTACATTCTAACAGACTAATAGAAACAAATACTGAAAATTTAAGCTCAACTACATAGTTCTACTTTCAAACAAGGCCCAGACCATTCTGGTAAAGTGCACAAACATACCTAGATCCCAAACTTGAAACTTTATGTTGTTGTATTGCACAGTCTCAACATTGAACCCAATTGCTGCAAACACAACATGCCACTCGTTAACCAAGAAAATTACAAGCTTCAATTTTTACGCATTCCATACTTCAAATGAGATAGATCTAAATATACAGAGCCCAGAAAGATTTAAGGGTTAAGCCCATCATCAATACAGAACAAAAGGTAAGCACTTACTTGGAATGGTGGATACTACCTCACCCATCTGAAGTCGATCTACAAAGACACCAATAAATAAGCTGTAAAATCAAGAGCAAGACGCGAATCGCGTCAGGATAAAGTGCAGAACACAAAATCGTACAAAGAATGGTGGTTTTTCCGGCATTGTCAAGCCCTAGAACGAGGATCCGAGCTTCTTTGTTTCCAAACAATGACGAGAACAGCCGCGTGAAGACTATTCCCATTCCTCAGGCTGACGGCCGATATGATGAACGGTTTAACCTGAAAAAAAAAAGGAAAAATTCCCGATTGGATCTGAGCAATATATGCTTGTCCTTGCCCTGCAGGCAAGAAGAAACTGATGCGATCGTTAATGGCGTGATTGTTTACTTTAACTAAGCATGAGGGGATGATGATGCCTGATGAAAATGAGAATATGCCTGAGAGGAGGGGAGGATTTGGAAAATATACTAATTATAGTGGCGAATTTTGTAAATATGGACGATTATTTGAGTGGGGATGCTGATTACTGTTTCTGAATATTAGAAACTTCGATGCGACGTAAACTAGACATGGCCAAAACACGGGTCGAGCTGATTGGCTCCGAACTATGGACCCAGCGGGCCGGATTGGACCCGACTTGAGTCTGGGCCGTCCACATGACTAAAAGAAAAAAAAATTAAAAAACAAACAAAAGCATGTGTTTTTTCAAGGTCGGGCCCGATCCACCGAGTCAGCGTAAAAACTAAAAAGAACAAGGCCATGGGTCGGACCGGTTAAAATCGGGGCTAGGCCTAGACTTATGGTCAATGGGCTTGATCGGGTCAGGTCCGTGCTGGGCCGGCAGGCCGGGTGGCCCGTGGCCACCTCTATTAGAAACTGGTATTAACTTGGTATTTTTATTTGTTTTTAGTAACAATCACTAACTAGATCATTATAATTTTTCAAATAAATAACTATATTTACAAATTAAAATTTATATTTTAAGAGATAGCATAAATAAAAGTATGATATTTTATAGTATAAATATATATATTTTTTTTATTGGTGGACTTGACTGCCATTTTATATTTATATTCTTCCTTCTTAGAAAAATTTTGGGTCGAACCAACATTTTTTTTTTTTTGGAAAATATAGCCATACAATATACACTCGGATATTTATTCCTTTTTTTTTATTTTTGAAAATTATAAATGCTATTTTCAGTAGTTATGAATCACCCAAACAGACGAGAAGTATAATTGTTTTGATTATATGTCAATATATCCTTTATGATAATTTTATTTTAACTCACAAACCAAGATTAATTAAAAATAAAAAAGTTTACCAAATCATTATAAACAAATTGTAACTATTGGTTGTTCTTGCTAACTATTAAAAGAAATCCCAAATAACTAATTTTATTTTAGTTTGATGTATATTGGTCTAACAGTGAAAAATCAAGAATGTGTTGATCCAACGACAAAAAAATTAATGAGGTCATAGAACGTTGAAAAATCAAGATTGTGTTGATCCAACGGTAAAAAATTCAATGAGAGCATAGAATCGAGCTTTCCCAATTTATTAACTAGTCACGCGCTAAGACATTTGTTTCGTTATTCCTAATTTTGTGTTTTGTAATACTCCCACACCTAAGAGATAGCATGTAACCGAGAGTGTGTTTAGAAAACTAACGAGGACAATGCCATGGTATGGGTGAGCAACCGTGCGATTCGGTAAAAAGCCACACTAAATCGCAAACAAAAAACTAAACGTCACGAAAAAAATAATCAAACCTCACTGCAACTTAGGAAGAAAAGGGGCACCAAAACCGAACAGCAAAAAACGTGGTTCAGCTCGGTTTTCAATTTTATTTGGTTTTTTCATACATTTTATTCAATTTAATTTGGTGCAGCCCGGTTCAAACAGCCGAACAATATTGAAAACCGAACTTATGAAAAAGTAAAACCGTACTGCACGACAATGTAGGAAAAAAATCGAACCGAAACCAAACTGAAATTTTTTACATTAAAAAAACACTGAAATTCACGGTTTGGTTAGGTTTTTTTTCGCTTCGACTCGGTTTCGCTCACCCTTACTCAAAGTAAAGTTCCAATTTGCCCCACATAACAACACTTTGATGCGCAATAAAATTACTTTACTAGGGTAAAAAGGCAAGCATAGTCCTGAACCTTTCGTGCAGCTTTTAGTACATATCCCAAGTAGGCTAACGTTAAAATGTTCATGCTCTACACAGCATCACCTTATTCTCACTAGCTTCATTAAATACGAGACAAAATGGCACGAAAAACGGTCGAGATTATGGCCGGAAATCTATAATGCCGATTGGAATATCATCTCTGCCAACTCCTGCAAAATTCCAAAGTCGAAAAACATGTACAGGTATTGTCAAAAAGCACATACGAAGCTGAATGTAACTCATCCCACAAAGCTCGTCACCAAGTTCATTTTGTTAATTTTTGACATTTTCTTATTTGGAAAAAATAGCCATTTACTTACGTATGTCTGTGCGTAGTAAATATGATAAAACTGGAAATTAACGGTTACCTGCTTAGCAGAGCCAACTTTCGGTTCTCCCCATTCAATGGCCTTCTTCTCGAGAAAGTCAAAATCAGCCTTACCGGCCTGTCAGATAATTTCACGACAATCACTAAGTGCATGCTTGGATACAAATTTTTCCAAAAAAATCGATAATCAACTTTAAATCAACCTCACTATCCTTAATATTATTAATATAATAAAATAATATCACTCAATCATTTTTTACGCGTTACATCAATTTTAATCCACTATTAATCCACTCACATAATTTTAACTAATCATCATTTCACATCATCTCTCTACTACTTTTATATCAAATCAAATTTGATTATTTTATTTTTAAATAATATTTTAATATAAACTCAAAATCCCACGAAGTACGGGAGCAAGAAAATAATAATCAAACCAACCTCTATTTCAGCTCCTAATTCCGTGTCAAAACTTTGATACCTCTTGCGTACAAGCTCACTCAACGAGCCGCCCTGGCACAAAACAAGTAACCCCGTTTTTTAATTTTATTTACCTTTATTTGTTCTTATAATTTACTTGGGGCAGTGAAAAGGAGAACCGTGAATGGCAAATGTATCAAAATGGGAAGATTTACCTCAATCAGCTTGGCAGCACTCCGTAGCCCACGTGCTAGAGTATCCATTCCGGCTATATGAGCAATAAATATGTCCTCAACATCCGTGCTCTCTCTCCGCCTATTGAGTTCCCCCGTAAAAACAACATTTATTATAATTTACCTTTAAATAACGACTTTTTTATAGGGGAGAATATTATAACTTGTACTATACGGATTTTTGGCTTTTGCAATCTGGACTATTTTTATTCTTCTGAAAATGAAAAATGCAACCCGAAGTTTATGAAAATTCATAATTTTCAATACGAAGTTGCAAAATTGTGAATTTTCGTAAACTTCATGTTGCACTTTACCAAAAAAATATACTTTCCAAATACGTGTATAATACAAGTTGCAATTCTTTCTTTTCATATTTAAAAAGTGTGGTTATGAAGAGACAGAGAACATACAGTTTTGCATCAAAATTGAACCCTCCCGGCGCCAATCCTCCCTGGCATTCATAACATAAACTATGTAAAAGAAAAAAAAAAATAGCTTATACAAAATGTTAATGTATTTATTAGATTATGGAAACTATTTATAGTATATACAAAGATTCAAACATATTTAACATACATTTTTAATCACGGTGAGCATTACTAATGTTGCTTCTCCAACATCCATCATAAATTGGTCTGTATCCCAACCTGCAACATATCCAAAATTTCACATTAAAATTCTGTTTCATGAAAAAAACATTAATTTTTTTTTACTTCGAGATAACTATATACATACCAACTTGAGGGTCACCAGTATTTGCATCAATGTTCCCCAATAGACCATTAATTCTTGCAGTTTCAATCTCGTGATGACAGCTGGCACGTCAGAAGAATATATCGACCGGTTAACTAATGCTGGCAATATAAAAGCCAAACATTTTATTTTCATTGACTGTTGACTAGTTTCTGAAAAAGAAATCGACACACCTGTGACCAGACAGAGTTGCATGGTTGCACTCGATGTTCAGTTTAAACTCGTCTGCAGAAAAAGAAAAGATTAATGGAGAGTAATAAATTTATTAAAATCACTTTTTCTACTGAATTAGCAGTTTTCATAATTATTCTTTGTTTTTCTTTTTTTCAATTTTCTTGAGTGGTGAAGAACTTCTTTATGTGTTTTTTGGTGAAAGAGCAAATACAACATAGACGGTTATTTTGAACAACTTTTCAAAAGAAGTACACAGATTGCTTCAAGGTTTACCTATCAATCCATATTTACGAAGGAAGTTAGCCGCTGTAGCAGCATCCCAATCGTACCTGGCATGATTAAGTACGTCAAGACGCTCAAAATTAATTAATTAATAAAGATTAGTAGCAAGAGAGAAAAGCAAAATGATAGTTCGACACATGAAAGTTAACGTACTGATGCTTTGTTGGTTCCTGTGGTTTAGGTTCAATGAGCAGTGTTCCTAAAAACAAATGTCAATATCAATACAACAAGACTCGGAAGAGAGCACAAAGAATAAGATTGAAATATTACCATTGAACCCAATTTTCTTCTTATATGCAACTGCAGCTTCGAAAAAGTTCGCCTGCATGAATATGATAATGATAAAAGATCGGGAAAAAAAGGAAAAATTTTCGAGTGATGGTAAATGCTCATTGTTCGCTAGAAGTTTCATAGTCCCACAAAAAAAAGGAAGCAAACAAAGTGCAGTTTTAAGAAAAAAATTATAGGATTTAAGTGAAAATAATCCTCACAGATATACTGCAAACTAAAACAAGAAAAGAGAAGAAGATGTAACATTACAGTCATACCATGTGATTGAGCTCTCTTTCCATATCTGTGTTCAAAAGAGATTGATAACCCTCTCGACCACCCCAAAACACATAATTCTCTCCACCGAGGTAATGTGTGACCTATAATCATTAGCTCCAATGAGAATGATGAAAATACACAAGGCATTAATCAAACACGAAATACAATTTCTCGAAGAAATGAAATTAATCGGCCACATATACCTCCATGGCTTTCTTGACCTGTGCTGCAGAATATACATATACTCCTAATTCAGGGCTGTAAAGTGTAAAAAGCAAACAATGTAAGAATTACAATCCAGCAGACAACAAAGAAATTAAAAGTATAATAAAATAAACGGAAAATAAAACAAATACAATATATCATAATTCATAACAGTACCTAGTAGCAGCCCCATGCATGAACCTGGGATGGTAAAACAACTGAGCTGTTCCCCACAGAGGCCGAATCTTTGTCCCCTGAGTTCCCACAAAGAAAGATATGAATAAAGCAAAACGAGGAAGCTATTTGGATTTCATTTTAATCTTTTAACTTTTAAAAGTCCTCTTCGTTTGTATAAACTTACCTGAAGTTCTTTGGCGAGAGAAACGACTTCATCCAAGTTAGCATTGGCTTCCTACAAAGTTTGGCACAAATAATATCAACAATTTCAAATGAAAAATGGAACACTCGCTCAGAGATATGAAAAGATTTTAACTTTAGTAAAAGATTAGTGTAACAGAGAGAATTCGTATTCACTGACCTCAATTGTTTTACCATCTGGAGCAATATCCCTGTCATGGAAGCACCATCTATCAACACCAAGCTTCTCTATAAACTCAAAGTTCGCCCTCACTGAGACATCATTTCAGAAAAACAAAACACACTAGATAAGCTCCACATTTACTCAGAAATGATAACATCCATAACTAGAAAATTACAGATCAAGCAAAACCATACTTCTTCTTTTTGCCATTTCGAGAGAATTCGTGCCATCTTCCCACGGCCACACCTTAGTCGGCGAACCAAAAGGGTCAGCCCCTGTTCCCCGGAAAGTATGCCAAAATGCAACGCTAAATCTCATCCAATCCTAAAGCAAATTATGGTTTTTTTTTTCCAGTATTAGCCCACACGATCATCTGAAAATCTGACCATTAAAAAAAAAAAAACTCACCTTCATCTTTTTCCCAAGAATTTCCTCTTCAGCATTGTACCACTTAAAAGAGAGAGGATTCTTACTTGAAGGCCCCTACATTAGGAGATGAAAACCAATCAGAACAATATAAACCACACAGTCTATGTAAAGTAATCAGGGAAGACAATAAAACTTCAAAAAACCACAGTTAAAACAGATAAAATAAATTTACCTCATACTTAATCTTTGGAATGCCAGGAAAGAACTCTCCTTCCCATTCACCACCATTCGCACCGCAATCGCTCGTAATATCGGCAGGACATGTCGGCGGGCCGACAGCAGTCTGAGATTAATTTCATTCAGTCCACACAGTGAAACATAAAACTATCACAAGATTCACAACAGATTAACAAGAAAACCTCGATAGTTTGCTTAAAAATTGAGTCTTTACCACTATACTGGAGACTGAATTTAGAATAAGCAGCAACAACAAAAACCCGGCTTTCTCCATCTCAAGCTTCTCACGCAAACAGAAAACTCTGCAGCCAGATAACAGAAATTAGAGCCCAGAATCAATAATTTCTGATAACAATAGTATAAAAAAATAATCATAAATTGTAAGACAAAAATGGGTAATAAAAATGAGTTCTTGAAATGAAAATTTTCATCTACGGATGCAGAAAATGCTCAAATTTTCAAATCAATCACAGCCCATTAAACAATATTGAGTGCATACACAAGCACATCAGTCATAAGATAGAATCAAGACTTACAGATAGTGATCGGAGTTGGTGAGGTTTTCAGATGGGTGCCCAGAAACAAAAATGGTGTGCGAGTAGACAGCAGACGAATTTATATAGCAGGTGAAATGGGCTGGAATAATTTGGTATTTTCAAATGAATAAAAATATTTATTAAAGGGCATTTTTTTTTTTATATATATGGATTACGATTTACGAATTTAATTTGGTTTTTAATCTTAAATATTCAGCAAATAATAATCATTTTTGTTAAGACTTTCCGTGATTATGTTGATTAGCTTATCATAGTTGGTCTTATCCGTAAAGCTCCGTGGAGTGTGGATTTGTTAAGATTCTAGCTGGAGTCTATCCAGCTTTTTTTTTAAAAAAAAAAAAACAAAATGCATGCTCATCATGTGAAATGTTATGCTTAAGTACTTGTGATCCCGGCTCGATTACGAATTAGTTGGTTCTTATGTGGATGCGAAAACTAGAAGATCCCTGTAAAAAAAAATGTTATGCTTAAGTATATGTTGGTTTTTAGAGTAAGTTGTTGCATTTTGAAATTATGCATATCTGTTGAAAAGTATGGTTGTCTAAAATTGTTAGGTTTATGTAAACGACATTTTAATTGATGATTTAATTTATCACAACTATGGTAATTCTTGTTCACCACAATGAAATGATGAAATTTCAATGAAGAATTCTGAAGTGAAATGTATTCCAATGAAATTTTAACGACAATTGCAATGGATGTTCCAGTGCTATTATTTCTGTTGACATTTTCTATTAGTTCCAACGAAAATTACAGCAAAAATATTTCGTTAGAATGAGTTTTCCGTTGGATTTGACGATTTCAAAGATAAATTTTTCAACGGTTAAAATGTGAGTTGAATTAAAAACCTTAATGGAAATTCATATTCTAACGAAAACTCATTTAGTAAAAAACTATTGAAAAAATGACCGTTGCAATCATCAAATTTCATGTAAATTCCAATGCAAAATTCATTTCAGCAAAATATTTGGTGAAATTTCCGTTAGCATCATTTTAACGGAAGCTAACCATTAGAATATCCGTTAAAATTTTCATAAGAATATATTAATGTAGTGTGTTTGAGATTTTATTTTGCTAGATTGACCTGCCTGCGGACATAGCTCGGTTCGGCCGGTGGATGTTTGAATTCGGGTTGTTCGTTTAGTTATACAAGGCAAGTTCAAACAATTAATCAAGTTCGCCTACAGCGGACCAAGATTTTCCTTAAAACAAAGGTCATTAAGACTATCCATGAAAGTATACATCTACTTATCAATTGAGCCATACAAAAATTCTATAGAGCCATCGGATGGTTTTCTTATGGAACCATCCATCACTTAATGTGTTGACACCTGTCCAAAATGTATTTATTGTAGAACACGTGTCAATACACTATTGGTGAATAAGTGTGGATGGCTCCATAAGTCGAGTCATCCGATGGCTCCATAACAAAATTGTTGAGCCATATTCTAACCAAGCTGCACACTAGTGAAACTAAATTGATAAAACATTCAATTTATCCTCCAAAAAACATTCCACTTCAACAAACAATTGAACATACAAACACACCAAAATGTCAAAAAATACATCAAACCAAGCAAAATAATCTTGAAATAAAAATGAAATATTTCACTAATCCATGAAAAAATAAACAATTTGAGAGGAAATCATGCACATTTTAAGCTCAAAACTACGAATGGATAGGGCAGTATGTTGGAATATTCGAAAGTAATCACTTCCGCCGGATTAATTATCCTACCATCATTGAGAAGACAGGTTTTCAAATCTATCCTTCGAAAAATCGTGGGATTAATCAGGGTTGTAGATGCAAACACGGGACAAGCAATTCGTACATCAAACACGCCCTTAGCATGCCACGCCTCGTTCACGATTTGAACCGTGTATTTGGGGACGTGGAGGCTAGCAAAACCCGATGGCCATTGGTATATCTGAATCAATCCCCGGCTGCATTTGTCCGGATAAATTATCCAACCTAGAATTTAAAAAAAAAAAAAATTACGAATAAATCAAATATTTAGCTAGATAGATTTCACCGTTGGATCAATACATAATCGTGCGCATCTGTTTAATTAACGGTAAAAAAAATTCAGTGACTATCACAACCTAAAAGCACACAAAAGAGAAATTAATTAACACATTAAATCAAAAAAATAAAAAAAAAAATGAACTTATATATCAATACACGTACATGAAATAGTGAAAGGGGAAAAAATCAGCAGGACGATTATGCTCAAGTAGAGTTTGGCCATGAGATAATTTTTTTTTTTTATTCAAAATATATAAATAATAAATTAATAAAAAAATAAAAAAATAATATAAGAAGGAAATTGTGACTATGAAAAAAAAATCATTTGTTACATATATATATATGAACTATGAAGTATGCACTGTGCGATACGAAGTTCTTGACACCTTAGCAATGGCTGTCTTATCTGTACTTTGTTTTTTTTGCTCTTTCTTATTTGGAATTTGGGTTGGGGTGGGTCCCACTTCCAGCAGTGCATTTGAGGGGTAGTTTGCAATTTTGAAAAAAAAAAAAAAATTCGCGGTCAAATAAAAGTTTGACTTTCAATTTTGACTTTATTATGAAGCAATTAGAGACTGAAATTCCTGTTTTGTTTCATTTAATCAAAATTAAAAAAGAGTGCACGAGTGGTAAACCAATTCGATTAAAATCCAGATAATGTTCCAAAATATGAAGAAATATGAGATGTGATAAAAGTATGATGTGATCGAATTATTTTTATTGTTCTTTTTCGAGGGACATTTTGGTACCGTTCAGCGTCTATTTCAACCAACTGTTTGATTCGTTTTAATGGGGCAGTCGAGTCCCATAACTTTCTAATATTTTTGCTAGTTAATGTATATTGAAATTTGATGTGTACAAATTAGCATAATTGTTTTCTTAAATTTTGACCAATTAGGCGTATGATCAAGATTTGGAACGCACGCAATAGATTGATTTTTGAAAGCGAAAGTCAACCTCCAAGCCTCGTGATTAGAAAGGTAAAAACACATGTTTACCGCATTATCTTTGCTACCTACCCGAGTGTTCTTGCCGAATTCGAAAGGAGATGTCTTGGCCTTGAATTTTGAAAAATTTTGAGTTGGTTGTTGCAAAGGGTGTGAGCACTTGGATGATATTGAAGAGAGGAAATTAATTGCTTCCCTTCTTCGAGTGAGCACCCGGCTTGTGGTTGCCCTCGTTTATTTTGGTTCTTGCGAGTGAGGAGCCGACATGTGTCTACCCAGTACGCTTTTGACAGTCGTCTCGGTTGTATGACTTTCAGTTTTGATCAATACAAATTTATTTAACGATCAAAAAAAAAAAGAAATGAAATTTTGCAGAAAATAAACACTACTACTAATATTGAAGTCCTTTCTCTAATGAGTACATATTGGCATATGACAAACTTAAAAGACATAACATTATTCACACAATACACACAATCACCCTCCAAAGTCACTTTCCTTCTTCACCTTCCCAAATTAAACCTCTCCTTTTATGAATTTTTTTACCTACAAATGTGCCCCTACAAACCCTCACACAACATAATAGAAGTATCACTTTTTTTTTTTTTTCCACACTATTGGTACATTTCTCCACATTGAACTTGAAGCATGTCGTCCGAACCGGGCCACGATCCTAACGACGCTGAGCTGGCGGCGTCCCATTCGTTCGTCCACCATCCGAGCTTGTCCTTCAATCCACCATTCGTCTCTTTAAAACAATCATTTTCCGCTATGTAATTTCTCTCAGTATTCGGATAAAAACCGGAAGTTTTACAATTGAGCAAATCGTAGAGCTCGGTTTGAGTGAAACCCGAGCTTATAAGCTGGCCATCTATCACACTTTGCTCCGTAGTTTCCGATTCGGTAAAAAATATTTGGTCACCGTTCGAGACAAATGGGCTTTGATCAAAAGACGAAAAATTATTAGACGAATTTTCAAATCTATCGGTTTTTGAATCGCTTAAAGGACAATAATCATTAGGAGCAGCTTGAGAGATAATCAAGTTGTTTTGGTTTCCATTCATAGAATTTAGGGTTTGTATCATTTTTTGCTGAATGGGGTGCAATAATTTTGGCCAAGGTGAAGGATTATTATTGTCGAAAGGCAAAGGGTTTTGAAGGTTCTGAAGGTGCATGTGGAGTTGAAGCCTTTCGAGGGCCGAGTGGCTAAGGTTTTGCGAAATGTCACGGGTTGTTTCGCCTTCGGTTGCGTATAACTTTGGGTCTCGACTGGAAACACCCGAGTCCCGGTTCAAGTTTGACTGCCTGCGCCTGCCGAGGAGCTTCTTCTTGAGCCTCGTGTTCCAGTAGTTCTTGATGTCGTTGTCTGTTCTTCCAGGCAGCTGGGCAGCAATTATCGACCATCTAATATTGAGATCGAACAAAATTATTCGATCAGAATTCGAACATCAAGATGAGAAAAACTAACTAATAACCTTGTAAAAACAGAAAAAAAATGCTTAAACCTAGCTAAGAACAAATTTTGATTCCAAGTCATGAACATGAGTACATGACTAACTAGAGTTTAGGGAAAAATGAATGGAATGTTAAAAAATAGGAAGCATTATACGCAACACAAATGATTTATTGTATGAGACAACCTAACCGTTAGGCAGGTCGCCTCGTCATAGGATGCATACTTATAATATATTGTTAAATGACACATTTCATTTTATGTTGATTCTTAAAGTATGAGGAAAAATTGGAGATTTAGTTTTGGAATTGAGAAATAGTCTGATAGTTGCGTTGATTTTGCAAAACACTCTCTAACTGAAAAAAAAAAAAAAAAAAAAANAAAAAAAAAAAAAACCCTAATTTTGGTCCTTCCATCGGCAAAAGCCAGTCGAAGACCGACTGCTGAGATGCATATATTAGTCGGTTGCCAAATTTTTTCTCATATTTCTCTCCTAAATTGCGATTTACAAATCATTTTTTGTATTGTCTGCTATTCCTTTTTTTCATCAATTAGTCCATCAAAATTTTTAAATAAAAAATTTATTTAATAATAACTTTTATCATGTATTTCTTAACTCAACACTCGTATAGTACACGGGTATTGTACTAGTTTTTCTTAAAGTATGACAACTTCTAATGAAACTATGCGCACAACATTTGTAAGAAAAGTATGTCGTCGTAATGGTTAGACCGACCTAACACAAGACCAAATGAAAGGAAAAAAAGACAAGTAATTTCTTGCTAAAACATCAATCACAAGCATTTGTATTGTGTGTGTATACTATATATATTCTGATAATTTGCATGTGCAAGAATCTATGTGTTTTCTATATATTGGCATATATGTAGAGACAAAGATGGTTTATAAAATAAATATTTTACCTGCTCCCAATACTTATGTAGAGGCTGCAGATAATATTATCTTCTTCCTCAGTAAATCCACCATGCTTTATGTTAGGCCTCAAGTAATTAAGCCATCTTAATCTGCAGCTCTTCCCACATCTCTTTAGCCCTGCAAACATTTTAATTCCCTTAATAAAAAAAAAAAAAAAAAAA